TGCAGCCCACTTACTCCATCTCCTCCAGAGCAGCGTCGTGCAGGCTTCCCTCTTCCACAGTCGGAGTGCCAATCAGAAAGCGCAAGGTGAATTCTGGTAAAGAAACAGTCTTCATCAGAGATGTGTGGTATCCTTAGCCCACAGCTACCACCATTACACAGAAGGATCCCTTCTTGGCACCAGACCTCTCCACCAGTTCAGCCTACTTAGTACAGTGAGCAGTTCTGTGTTGGCCAGCCCCTCTGGAGTCTCTGTTCCCGAAGGAATGTGGTCTCAGGCTATTGCTGGGAGCTGATGTAACGTAGATCCAGCTCCCTGAAAAAGCTTTTACTGCATGTCATGTTCCCCTTCAGAGCTGGTAGGGCATGATAAAAGAACACTCAGCCAAGGTGCTCTAAGCATTCCTTGCTTTCCTCCTCTGATTTTCTAGGGTAGTTACCTGACCTCCAGGGTACATTGTACTGCTGCTTAGTGCAAGGTTCTGCACTGGATGCTTTGACGGAATTGTCCTTCTGTCACTGTTCAAAGTGAAATGGCTCCCTGTTCTTGAGAAAGCTGGTGGTTGACAGAAATTGGAATCTGTGAGCAGACATTCACAAAGAAAGAGAAGTTGCAGGTGGCAGGCACCAGATTACTGCAGCAAGTTTTTGTGCTTTGTAGCTTTCTGAAAAATCATATATCATAGAGATTCTTATCATTGTGGAACAATGTCAGTTGTCCTTTAGTTTGTCAGCATTTGAGAGGCTATGTATGGTGAATTAATGTAGCAAGTATGCATGAAATACAGTGCAGCTACCCAACATGCTTTTCGTCTCAAGTTACACGCTTGAGCAGAATTATAAAATGGGTGCAAAAAAAAGTGCAGTTGAACTGAACAGAGTTACAGGATGAATGTGGCAATGTGGAGAGCATGTCCTTCAAGAAGGGTCTAGGAGAGCTTTGCTTATTTAATCTAGCAAAGTTAAGGCTGAGGAGGGGATAGAGTTGTTCTCGCTGCATTAACTGTGGGGAGCTTAAGAAGCTAAGAATAATATTGCTGGCATGAGGACAAGTGGGTATAAGCTGGTTTTAAAAAGAAAAAAAAAGTTACATTTGGAAATTGGAAAAGTGTTCCTATCAATCAGAAGTTCTCTGGTAAGAATAGTGGGACAAAAAGATGCTTTAACAATGGATTTTGATTGGGTTTATGAACTGAGATTACATTACGTGAGAGAAGGGGCAGAATTGGATGACCCAGAAATTCTTTTTAGTCTGGTTTCATTTGCTTGGAGTCAATAAGAGGAAGTGCTGTATGACGTCTTAATTCTCTAATCTCCAAATGGTAGAGCTTGATCTGTATTATAGACGACGACTCCTAGGAAGCACCAGGAACATCTTAGAACATCAGGAATAAGCACATACAAATGACCATGTTTGTTCTGTAGATCTGATAATGTTTTAAATGTCTGTGCTATATTGCAGAGAGGCATGATGCCCTATATGTGGTAGGCTCTCTGGATGAAACACTGGAGCTCAGAGGAATGAGGTACCATCCCATTGATATAGAGACCTCTGTAATAAGAGCACATAAGAGCATTGCAGAATGGTAAGAGCCTTAATATTACTTTCCTGTATCCTTTTATTTCACCTAAAGCAGCAGAAGTCAAACTTTATGGAACAGCATGCTAGACTGAGAGCTTGCTGTAGAGGGAACTCACCAAAACTTTGTTTAGAAATGACTGCAGTGAGAGTAACTGAAATATAACACCCCTCTTTCCCCTGCCTCCGCCACTCAAAAAAAAAAAAAAAAAAAACCCCCCCCCTTTTTTAGGGTTTTTTTTT